TTAGAAAAAGAAATATAAAAGAAAACACATGGGCCGGGACTTGAACCCACCCCCCTTGAGATCACAGGCGCGCACCCTTGCTAACTACGCTACGCTTCCTTGGTGTTTGAGAATAGCCAACAATCCTTTTGTAACAATCCTGCACGCTATCCAGAAAATAATAAAAATAAGGTGCAAAATTGGGACTCAAACCCACGCCCATTCAGTCACATGTCCAAGACCTTGCCATTTGCGTTGCGCTTTCATTTGTTATATAATTGAAACAAATAAAATATACATTAAACCCAGTGGACCGGCGAGCGCTAGAGCCCTAGCTCCGGTGGTCTTCTCCGGCGAACCAAAATCTCAAAACCTGTGAAATCGTTAGAATTAAAATCAGAAACACATACTAACCCCTAATTCAGGAATTGTGGATCCAATGGTGGGGTTATCTTGACCTGAAGTGAGCTGCAAACAGAGTTACAATAAAAATGAAAAAACACGGTTAAAAATGGCAGGTAGCCATGTTCATGTCTAAGCTCGCATGTAAAGCCTTGTTCCAAGCCTAATTATCATTCTGAAAACATCTGACCACAAGACATTAGTAAACAACACATGGATTTAAGATTCCAAATGCAAGAAATTTTACCAATCGGTGAACGTGGCTAGGCTTCTTCTGGGCACGACTGAAAGTGTTTTTTAGACTGGATCTGTTCTTGAGAATGTCAGGATGACGAATAAATGACTGAAATTAGATGAGAGTGGCTGGAGAACAAGTTTTGTGTTGCCCTAGCTCGAGAAATTTTTTGAGAGTTTTTGTGTTCTAACGCTGCAGCATTCGTCCTCTTTCGATCTGACTTGGTAGTGTATATATAGAGGGAAGGATCAGGATGAACAAATATGGAAAAAGAAAATCAATCATGACATGAATAGACAAGAATAAAACACATTAAAAAACTTCCTTTCTTGTGATTTTCCTTGCCTTTTCCATGCTCACACAATTTGGCAAGTTGTGCTGAATTGTTTTGGGCTTTAAGAAACCCATCATGCGCTTGGCCCAATGATTTTGCACCTTATTTAATTTATTTTGTATTTATTTGAATAAAAACAAAATACCTATAAATTAAAAAATAAGAAAATATAAGACAAGGTATGAGTGAGCTTAGGATTCTTTCATAAGGTCATGGACATGTTTGAAACCTAAAAAGTTAGGCCCACAAGTTCAAAATTTCAAGTTTACTCACTTTGTATTTCATGTATTTTTTCAAAATTATCCAACTTGTGCAACTCATAACTCACTCAATTTTTATCTTTTGAAGGTGATCTTGGACTTTTTTGAAATATCAAGATGTCCTCTTAAATTTCTCTTTTTATCATTTTTTCATTTGGAGAATTTATTTTGATGTAAGTTACCTTGATAAAAAGTGTCTTTTTGTTGACTTTTGAAATGACCTGTAATGTATTAGCTCATATCTTTCAAATGAAGCACTTTTTGGACTTCAGCATAAATATACAAAGTTTTAGAGAATTGAATTTTCTTCAAAATGGGCTTTGGGTGGGGAAAATTTGATGAAGAATGTGAAAGTTATGCTTGGTCAAAGTTCAGTTGACTTCTCCTAAGGAAACCCTAATTTGGCAACTTTTGACTTTTGATGATTTGAGAGCTTTCCTTGAGGAATCATGATCAACCCTTAATAAAATGATGAATATCACTTCAAAATATTGATGTTGACCAAAAATATTGAAGTTTGATTGTATGTTGACCATAGTTGACTTTTTACTCAATACAGTTGATTTTCAATCATCTGAGCTATTGACCGAGCAAACTTGTGATGCAAGACTTGAAACTTGATATGAATATTGTTGAAGACCTATGGAGAACCATGGAAACCAGTTGAGGCCTTTGCAACCCAAACTTCCTTGAGGAACTCAAAACCCTAGTTGTAGACCTCTTGCTTAGGAGGTGAGTTTATTTGATCAACTCTTGAGAATCCTTGAGCATTTGAGAACCCTAGCAGAATGCCTTGAAGAAATGGGAGGGAAAATTTTGGGGTACAACAACAGTCAAAGAATCTCCTGAGCAAGAATAAGTTGCAGTTAATACTAAGAATATGGGTTCTTCTGTTGAAACAACCTCCTTTTATCTTATGCTGAAAAATCTGGAGGAGTTGAAGAAAGAAAATGTTGTGTTTAAAGAAAGGCTAGACAAACAGGAAGAAACTAGCAAAGAAATTAAGGGGAAGCTTGGGAAACAAGAGGAATCAAATAATCAAATCAAGAGTTTCGTGGAAGCCTTGTCCACACGACTTCCACCTCCTCAACCTTAGTAGCTCTAAAAAATTGTTTTGTTTCTTCTATTTGTTTCTTATTTCAATCTTCTGTTTATCTACCTCCTTCTGTTTATCTTAATACACTTTGAATACAAAATCCATTTTTGTTATATTACGTGTTTTTAGTGCTTTTTTATTCTTGACAAAAAGGTAAAGAGCATAAGATATTTTGAATATAACAGTACCGAGACTCAATTTTAAACATTTTGAATATCATAACTTCTGTTTTTATCTTTTGAAAGCAAACAGGAAAAATATCTTGAAAGTAACTTCTGTCAAGTGGATGTATCAAAACTTCCATCACAAAGCTCTGATCAGAACATCTTCAGGGAAGTATATTTTCTTTATCTGAATATTCAACTCAGGGGGAGACTTTAATTCTTTATGTCTTAAGTAATCTATCAAAATATACAAGTTTTTGTCATCATCAAAAAGGGGGATATTGTTAGAACATAGTTTTGTTCTACATCCTTGTAAGAGTTTTGATGATAACAAACACATGATATATATATATATATATATATATATATATATATATATATATATATATATATATATATATATATATATATATATATATATATATATATATATATATATATATATATATATATATATATATATATATATATATATATATATATATATATATATATATATATATATATATATATATATATATATATATATAAGAACAAATATGCTCTCTAATAATGTATTTAAATATGCATAAAAATTCTGATTAAAGAAGCATAGAAGATGAGAAAGTTATATTTTGAAGCTCTATTTAGACACAACATACTTAGAAGCAAATATGTGTAACACGCTAAGAATGAAGAAGTTCTAATGTTACAACTTCTGAATGCACCAGCGTTGCGAGAAAAACTCTGATATTCTGGAAGAACAAAAGTAGTCTCAACGCACTCATCTTCTCATTTGTTCTAAAGATTCAGCACTTGAGCTACACTCTACTAGTAAATACTCTTATATGCAAAAGAAGCTCCAACGTATCATTCAAGTTCTAATAGAAACTATGAGGATATAAAGTCTCAACGGTAATATTCTTCTTCTGATATGATCCCAAGAAAGCATAGTTCTGATGCTTTACAACTCATTCATTATAAATCAAATAGTAACGGCTGAACCAAGACAAGATCTATATTTTTGGAAAGTGTATTAACAACAATTTATTAACTTTCCAAAAGCATTTTCTCATGTCTCTCATGCACCTCCTATTTAAATATGACTTGAAGAAGAAAATCAAACAACACTACTACACACTGAAAGAGAAAAATATTATTACTCAGTTATACCTTGCACTTTAAAATTTTGTATACATCATTGTTGTGATATAGTTTTGTTTAGAAAACGTCTTTGTACTCACTCTTAATTGATTTATCTTGTAATACCTTGAGAAAACCGAGTTATGGTTAAAACTCGGGAAGACATTGACAATAGTCATTCTATCTGTGTAATCAAGTTTTGATTAGTGGATTAAGACTTTGTTTGAGAGAGGCGAAGTCACCTTGGCGGATGGACTTGAGTAGTTTGAGTTCAAATGAACCAGGATAACCAACGTGTCTACTGTTTTATTTTTGAAAATCCCAATTCAAACTCTCCCATATATTTTTCCATTCTTCACATTTAACAATTAAGAATGTATGAATTTGACATGCAATCACCATTTCATTATTTAGGGCTAATGTTTATTAAGGATCATAACTTAAAGAAAAGAAAACCCTTCTTATCTATTTTCTTCTTAATTAAAAAAGACAATGGTTAAGGTTAAATGATTGGACTTTAAGCTCTCTATTTGACTTGAATTTTTGTAGCAACCATCTTTTCTAAAAAAACATGCAATCATCACCTTGAATCTTCCACTTCTTCTTCAGCTCCTGTGCTCTTTACATTCTCCACAAATTGCACACATTCTGATTTCTATGTTATGTTAGGACTTTAATATTATTTTATTAAAAATATTATTTTACTACTGCTCTCCTAAAAGGGTCATAATCATTATAAATTCTATCACTATCATTCTTAATTTACTTAAATGATGATAATTAAGTTAGTGATATCTAATAAAGGATAATTTAGAAGCAACACACACCTATTTACTACTATAAAGTCGAGTTAGATATGATTGTTTGCGTGAAGTTCTTGATAAATTATTTTTATATATTTATACTAGAAATAACAATTAAATTATTTTGTAAATTTTGTAAAAAAAATAAAATAAAACCCATTAAAATAATATGATATTACTTTTTTTAATTAATATGCCTTCAGACAAAACTTGCTAATAAAAGAGAAAAAATATGTTTTTTTTTTATTTCAATTTAACAACTCATGTGCCAGAGGTTATAATGTTATATTTTATTATAAGAGGTTGAATTCTTCAACTATTTAAATAGTTTTTTCTTTATTTTTCATTTAAATTTTTACTTTTCAAACAAAATTCTCATACATATTAAAAATATCTACTACATTAAATTAAATACAAATAAGTTTGAGAGAAAGAGAGAAGCATAAACATATATTAGTAATAGATTAGAAGGATAAATATCATTACAACATAAGTTTATTTATAAAACATTGTAATAACAAGTCTCCCAACACTATTTATTTCTTTAACAAAATTAAATTTCAAAGTAGTTAACTTGTGACTCAAGGTTCACCAATGAGTCTGAATTAATGGCCTCCACCAGTATCATTTCTGCTTCCAACAGATAGATCTCCACTAGTAGGATTACCGCCAACGTTAGCATTACCGTCTTCAATTAATCTACTTGAAAGACTACCACTAGTAGAATTATTGCCACCTCTTAGTCTATTAGTTGTCCCACCGTTAGTAGAACTATTCCCTCCATTTAATTCACTGGGTCGGCCACCACTAGTAGCATTAACGCCTCCACTTTGTCCATCAGATATTCCACCACCAATAGTATTACCGAATCGATTTTGTCCAATAGATATTCCACCACCAATAACATTACTGGCTCCATTTAGTCCATCAGACATACCCCCACCAGTAGAATTACCGCCTCCATTAGCATTACCGCCTCCAATCAGTCCACCACTAGTAGAATTATTATCTCCTCTTAGACCACTAGTTATTCCACCATCAGTAGAATTATTCCCTCCATTTAGTCTACCGGGTAGACCACCACCAATAACATTACTGCTTCGATTTTGTCCACCGGATATTCCAACACTAGTAGAATTACCCACTCCATTTTTTCCAATAGATATTCCACCACCAGTATCATTACCGCTTCCATTTAGTCCACCACCAGTAGAATTACCGCCTCCTCTTAGTCCACTAGTTATTCCTCCATCGGTAACATTATTCCCTTCATTTAGTCCACCCGGTCGGCCACTACCAGTAGAATTACCGCCTCCAATTTGTCCACCAAATATTCCACCACCAGTAGCATTACCGGCTCCATTTTATCCACTAGATATTCCACCACCAGTATCATTACCGCCTCCATTTATTCCACCAGATATTCCACCACCACTAGAATTACCGCATCCATTCGCATTACAACCTCCAATTAGTCCACTTAAAGGTCCACCATCAGTAGAATTACTGCCTCCATTTATTCCAACGGATATTCCAGCACCATTAGAAATACCGCCTCCATTCACATTATCGTTTCCAATTAGTCCACTTGAAGGTCTGCCACCAGTAGAATTACTCCCTCCTCCTAGTCCACTTGTTATTCTATTACCAGTAGCATTATTCCCTCCATTTAGTCCATCAGTTCGGCCACCACCAATTGCGTTACCGCCTCCATTTTGTCCACTGGATATTCCACCACCAGTAGAATTACCGACTCTATTTTTTCCACTAGATATTCTACCACCAGTATCATTACCTCCTCGATTTGGTCCACCGGCTAGTCCACCACCAGTAGAATTACCAACTCCTCTTATTCCACTAATTATTCCACCACCAGTAGCATTATCCCCTCCAATTAGTCCATCGGGCTGGCCCCCACCAATAGCATTACCGCCTTCACTTTGTGCACCAGATATTCCATCACCAATACCATTATCGGCTCCATTTTGTCCAGTAGATGTTCCACCACCAATATCATTACTATCTCCATTAGCATTACCTCCTCCAATTAGTCCACTTGAAATTCCATAACTAGTAGAATTACGGCCTCCTCCTATTCCACTACCAATGGCATTATTCCCTCCAATTAGTCCACTGGGTCGGCCACCATCGATAGCATTAGCTCCTCCATCTTGTCCACCAGATATTCCACCACCAGTAGAATTACCTACTCCATTTTGTCTACTTGATATTTCACCACCAGTAACATTACTACCCAAATTTAGTCCACCGGATATTCCACCACTAATAGAATTACCGCCTCTATTAGCATTAACGCCTCCAATTAGTCTACCACTAGTAGAATTACTGCCTCTAATTTGTCCCCTGAATATTCCACCACTAGTAGCATTATTCCCTCCATTTAATCCACCAGGTCGGCCATCACCAGTAGCATTATCGTCTCCACTTTGTCTACCGGATATTCCACCACCAGTTGCATTACCAGCTCTATTTTGTCCACTAGATATTCCACCAACAATATCATTACTGCCTCTATTTATTCCACTAGATATTCGACCACCACTAGAATTACCACCTCCATTCGCAATATCGTCTCCAATTAGTCCACTTGAAGGTCCACCTCCAATAGAATTACTTCCTCCTCCTATTCCATTTGTTATTCCACTACTCGTAGCATTAGTCTCTCCATTTAGTCCACCGTGTAGGCCACCGCCGTTAGCATTACCTCCTCCACTTTGTCCACCGGATATTCCACCACGAATAAAATTACCGACTCCATTTTGTCCACTAGATATTCCACCACTAGTATCATTACTTCTTCCATTTTGTCCACTGACTAACCCACCACCAGTAGAATTACCACCTCCTCTTAGTCCACTAGTTATTTCACCATCAGTAGCATTATTTCCTCCATTTATTCCACCGGGTCGGCCACTCGTAGCATTACCGCCTTCACTCTGTCCATCAGATATTTCACCACCAGTATCATTACTGGCTCCAATTTGCCCACTAGATATTCCACCACCAGTATCATTCATGCCTCCATTTAGTCCACCAGATATTCCACCACCGGTAAAATTACGGTCTCCATTAGCATTACCGCCTCCAATTAGTCCACTTGAAAGTCCACTTCCAGTAGAATTACTACCTCCTCTTAGTCCGCTAGTTATTCCGCCTACATTAACATTATTTCCTCCATTTAATCCACCAAGTCGCCCATTACCAGTAACATTATCCTCTCCACTTTGTCCATCAGATATTCTACCACCTGTAGAATTACTGACTCCATTTTGTCTATTAAATATTCTACCACCTGTAGCATTACCTCCTCCATTTAGTCCATCAGATAGTCCACCGTCATTAGCAATACCATTGGCATTGTTATTCTTTAAAACTCTTTCTCCAATTGGCATAATTCTTGCACTTGTAACTACCACAACATGGGCCAAAACCACCAAAAAGAACCAGTTATCCATTTCTTTACCTTAATATATTCCAAAACTAGCAAGATAATTGTTAGTTGATTTAAAAGGAAATGAACTTCTAATATAACTATTACTAGTGTACCGTGTAGGAAATGTTATATGGTTTTAATTTGTTTTAAATTAAAACGTTGATTTATGTGTCTTAGATTATGCACGGTGCTTAAGAAATATTTTAAATATTTTGTTTTCAATACTAAAACTATTATTCTTTATTAAAATATTATTATTAATTAATGAAATCTTATTAATTGAATTTAATAGAAGGAAGGTCCATAGATAATAATTACGTGTTGTCCACGTATAATAGATTTGTTTTAATTAATATCTTAAATGAAAATCTTAATTTTAATTGTTTGTTAATTAATTTTTTTTGTTTGAAAAAATATATATTTTTATTTACTTTCTCGGTTGTAATCATATTTTTCTTGTACTTCATTCTTTCCCTTAATGTTTTTATAATATTTTAGAATGATTGATATATTTGTTAGTTTTTTAAAAAACTGATTTTCATTTTTTTGTGGAATCAATAACAGGAAGAGTGTTGTACTTTTAAAATGAAAATTTTCAAAATTTTAAGGTAATTAATACATTTGTATTGAAATTTATTTCTTTTATTTATAATTTATTAATTTGATTTTAAAGTGAAGCAAAAGGGATATAGAAAAACGATTGATCAAAAGCTATGCTGAAGTTAGATTGCAAACTCGTCCTAATAAAATTGATTCATATAAGTTTAAAATCAAAGAAGCTCTCAAATTGATATTTTTAAATTATTCTTTAATAAAAATATGATAAATATATTTAAATATTTTTTATGATATAAAAATAGGAAAAAATTATATATGTATTAAAGAAAAATATATTCTTTTATCATATTTTTATTAGAAAAAAATATAAACTATACATAAAAAATTATATCTAAGCTTTTTTCCTTTTTTTTTATTTTCTCATTTTAAAATTTTGATTTTTAATTTCCTTTCTAGTTTAAGATAAATTTTTAATAAGACATTAGGTGAGATAATGTGTCATTTCTATGTTTATCAAATTTAAATTCAAATCATTTAAAATTCATATTTGTTTTATTAAGAATATGATTTATTTTATTAAAATAAAAAATTTAATTCATTATCAACAACCATACACCCAAATTTTTAATCCTCTTCAACAGTCTTAAAGTGCCAAAACAACGAGAAAAAAAAACATATATAAATCAACCAAAAATCTACAAAAGAAAAGTTTTATTTTTTTCTTTGGGTGAAAACTATTCAGTCTAATACTTTCTTTCTATCTCACGAGTAATTTTTTTCTTATGTAAATATGATATATTAATGAGAGAACTGAGTGTTCTCAACCCTCATTCTAGATGCGTGGTAGGTAGATAAATCAAAAAGATTTTATTTTAGATTTTCGTGTTTTCGTTATTTTGTTCGGCTTTAAATTATTGAAGAGGATAAACAATATGGGGTATAGGCTGAATTTGTTTATTTTAAATATTTTTTATAAAGGCAATTTAAAAATTAAAAAAAAAAAGAAAAAAAAAAGGATGAATGGACATAAAATCTAACCAACAAAAAAATTAGTAAAAGTCATAGTCAGACATACTCCATCTATCTCAAAAAATAATTAATTTAATTTTTTTATTTAGATAAAATTTTTATATTATTAATAAAATAATAATAATTTTTAAATAACATAAATTTAAATTTAATAAATATGGCAATGGCACACCATCGCGCCTAGTATCATGTCATTACAAATTGATCCAAAATTGAGAGGGGCTAAAATCTTGAAATAAAACTTTAAAAAAAATTTAAAAGCACAAATTTTAAAATAAAAAATAAGAAATAAAAGAAAAAATAATAATGAGATCAAAGTTGTAATTAAACTTTTTTTTTAATGAGTCAATTTATTTTAATCTCTTATAAAAATTATAAATCGCAAATTAATCCTCTAGAAAAAAATGTGCCGATTTAATTCCTAATAAAATTTAATCGGATCATATTAGTCCCTCTAATAATATTTTTTTTAATTGATTTTTTTTCTTACTTTTTAACTGCAATTGAACTTGGATTCTATTTTTATTTTTATTTTTAACCCATTCAAATTTAATAATATAAAAAAATTAAAATAGGAGAATCAAAACTGTAATTAATTATATTTGAATTAAATAAATACTTATTTGTGTGTTATTTGAAATAAGTATTCATCACTAAAAATTTTAAGTGAAATTTTTCGTCATAACTTTCACATCATATTTGAGAAAAGTTTATGACCAATCTAACTTATATTCATTTGAATTGATCATTGGAAGAGAAGATCATTCTCTGAATAGATTTTGATATAAGTGCAACAATTTCATATAAATCAATCATTCAAATTTTGTTTTGTTTATTGAATTTAAGTGATCATTGTATTCAAGTGAAAGTGGTGTGAATTCTCTTGTGTGTTGTAAAATCAAAAGTGGATCGACTGTTGTTGGAAATCCACCAAAGTCTATGATGAATTTCTACCACAATGACAATTTAATTATGAGACAAACAAAGAAAAGAAGACAAGACAAATAATTTCTGCAGAGTTTCTCTCTGCTCACAAACTGTGAAAACTTTGTTATTCACTTGCAACTGCAAATTCTGTGAATACAACTTGCTTGACTTACTTACAAAAATAGGGGTTACTCCCTCTATTTATAACTGAGCTTACACCCTAAGCCTAAAGCCTAAAATATCTTTTTGTTACTAAATCAAATCTAATCTATTTTAAACTTAAATCAAATCTATTTAAATCTAAAACAAATCAAATCTTTTCGACACATAGTTTCGACACATTGGATTACAATTTAACACACCACCTAATTCATTGTGTCTAAACTATCTATGTTCATCATGGCTCTTAGCTTTCTGAATACTTCGACTTGCACTCCCTTCGTCATGATGTCTGCAATCTGATTCTCAGTTCTGCAGTGTTTCAAATTCATCTTCCCATCTGCTACCTGTTCTCGAAGATAATGGAACTTCATTTCGATGTGCTTACTTCGACCATGTGCTATTGGGTTCTTCGCCAGATTGATAGCTGACATGCTGTTGATCTTCATGGTAATTGCTCCATGATTTTTCCCTGTTATCTCTTCGACCAAGTTCACCATCCAAGTTGCTTGACATGCACAAAGAGAAACAACTATGTATTCTGCTTCGCATGATGATAATGCCACTACTGGTTCCTTTCTTGAATTCCAAGCAATTGATGCACCACCTAGCATAAACACATATCCTGCTGTTGACTTTCGATCTTCAGCATCACTACACCAACTCGAATCAGTGTATCCCACTAACTTGCATTCTTTTCCTTTATCAACTGCAGGAAACAAAATGCCATAATCGAAAGTTCCTTTGAGATACCTTAGTATCCTCTTCACTGCTGCTAGATGTGATACCTTTGGCTTCTGCATGAATCTACTTACCATACCTACACTGTATGCTAAGTCATGCCTTGTATGACAAAGATATCTTAATGATCCAATAAGTCTTCTGTATTGGGTTGGATCAACATCATCTTCATCTGTATCTTTCGACAGTTGCAGTCTTGGTTCTGCAGGTGTCGAAGTTGAGTTGCATTCTTCCATCTCAAACCTCTTGAGAATTTCTCCTGTATATCTTCTTTGATGCATCATCAAACCTCTACTGCTCTTGTAGAATTCGATACCAAGGAAATATGAAATCTCACCCAAATCAGACATTTCGAATCCTTTGCTGAGATCACCTTTGAAGTCTTCGATCTCACTTTTACAGCTACCTGTTATCAACAAATCATCTACATAGAGACATAGTATGAGCAATTTACTCTTGCTTCTTCTTACATATACTCCATGTTCAGTTGTGCACTTCACAAATTCCTTCTCCCTTAGAAAACTATCAATCTTCTTATTCCAAGCCCTTGGAGCTTGTTTCAATCCATACAGGGCTTTATGTAGCCTGTACACCTTTCTTTCTTCGTCATGTTTCACAAATCCAGCTGGTTGTTTAACATAGACTTCTTCATCTAAGGGTCCATTTAGGAATGTACACTTCACGTCCATATGACATATGTGCCAACTGTTTATTTCTGCTATACCAACAACCAACCTGATTGTTTCTATCCTAGCAACAGGTGCAAAAACTTCATCGAAGTCTATTCCTTCTTTCTGTAGAAATCCTTTCACCACAAGTCTTGCTTTGTGTCGAGTTACTTCACCTTTCGAATTTGTTTTCACTTTGTATACCCACTTGACATCAATTGCCTTCTTGCCTTGAGGCAATTCGACAAGTGACCAAGTGTTGTTGTCTTTGATAGACTTTACTTCTTCGTTCATTGCTTTCACCCACTTTGAATCCTTTAATGCTTCAGCTGCATTAACAGGTTTGACATCTGCATAGAAAGCATAATGTACCAGCTCACCTTCATTATCTATTACATCATCTGATGTAATCACACAATCTTGCAATCTTGCAGGCATGCGTCTTGTTCTTTGAGGCCTGCTTGTACTTGGTATATCTGCTGGTTCCTCTTGTCGAACTTCTCTTTCGACTTGAGTTTCTGGCTCTTCAAGAAGGATTCCCACTGAATCTTTCTTGATATTTTCAGTCCAATCCCATTCTTTAAACTCATCTATGATCACGTCCCTGCTGATCACAATCTTCTTTTTCACTGGATCGAGCAATTTGTAGCCTCCTGTCAAATGATATCCAACTAGAATCATTTGACTTGACTTATCATCAAGTTTTCTTCTCAACTAATCTGGCACATGTCTATGTGCAATAGATCCAAATACCTTCAGATGATTCAAGCTAGGCTTCACACCAGACCAACATTCTTCTAGAGTAATTCCTTCTAGCTTCTTTGTAGGACATCTGTTCAAAATGTATGTTGCAGTCGAAATAGCTTCACCCCAAAACTCTTTAGGTAAATTCTTGCCTTTCAACATACTTCTCACCATATTCATGATGGTTCGATTTTTC